GGGGGGGGGGGGTGTTTCCCCTGCTGCTGGAGTGCTCCGGGGGGATAGCCAAGTGCTGCTGTGTAAGGAGTCTCTCTACACAGGCTCCATCTAGACTGGCATGATTTTCTGCAAATGCTTTTAACAGAAATGTTTTCTGTTAAAAGCCTTTGCGGAAAAGTGCGTCTAGATTGGCACGGACGCTTTTCCGCAAAAAAGCCCTGATCACCATTTTCGCCATCGGGGCTTTTTTGCGCAAAACAAATCTGAGCTGTCTCCACTGGCCCTTTTGCACAAAAGGACTTTTGCCCGAACAGGAGCAGCATAGTATTTCTGCAAGAAGCCCTGATTTCAGACAGTAGAATGTCAGTGCTCTTGCGGAAATTCAAGCAGCCAGTGTAGACACAGCCCCAGTGTCTGTTCCCTGCACCATGGAACCACCGTGGTTCTGCTAGGAGCATCCCCAGCCTCTGCAGGATTTGCCAGTGTGTTCCCCGCAAACTAACAAACACTGTCCTAAAAGCTGAGAGCTGCAGGCCTGATCAAATCCTAGTGAAGTCCAAGGCAAAGTTCTCCCAGGCTCTGGATGAAGCTGAGATGCTTGGATTAGCCCTGGGTGGGGGGGTGGCATATTTAGCTTCCCCAGCACCAGGATTGTGCCCTGTGATGTAACTGCACAGTAGTCAGCTCAGTGGAGAACCAGGCTTCTCATTCCTTCCCCCGGCTCGGATGACAGCCCAGCATGGTTCTGTCAGGGCAAGCTGCCAGTTCAATCTGTTTTGCAGGTGGTGATTCTCGGCATCGCTTAGCCAGTGCAGGAGCAGTGGTCATCTGGGCATAGACACGCTGCAAAATCTTCCATCGAGCAACATGAAATACCAAACCGCCCCAGAAAGGACCATTAGACTGATGTGACCCATGGGCATGATTAGCTCCAGCTGCTTGGTGGAGGGTAAACGCTGGTAACAAAGAGACGAGGGAAAGCAATGAGAAGCACGTTCTGGGCTTGCAGGTGGCTGTCGTGAGGTCGCTGTGCTGGAAAAACACAACGGCTGCGTCTATACTGGGCCACTTATTCCGGAAAATCAGCCGCTTTTCCGGAATAAGCTGCGAGCTGTCTACACTGGCCCTTGAATTTCCGGAAAAGCAACGATGCTCTACTGTACAAAATCAGCCGCTATTCCAGAAAAGCTATGCTGCTCCCGCTCGGGCATAAGTCCTTATTCCGGAACACTGTTCTGGAAAAGGGCCAGTGTAGACAGCACAGTAGTCTTTTCCGGAAAAGTGCGTCTACATTGGCCACAGATGCTTTTCTGGAAAAAGGGCTTTTCCGGAAAAGCAGCCTGCCAGTGTAGACGCTCCTTTTCCGGAAAAACTGAAAACAGAATAGTATTCCATTTTAAGCAGTTCCGGAAATTCATGCCAGTGTAGACACAGCCAACAGGCTTGCCCCCAACGCTGAATACAAAGGGACTGTATTTATAGAAACACAAGTAGGAGAGGAGGAATAAAATGGGGCTGTTGTGTTAGCAGAATGCTAGGTTAAGACAGAAAATCAGTCCTACCACTGACCAAGAGACGGGTCAGTCTCCCAGGGCAGCCTGGGGTCAATGTCTGAAGAGGGATCAGTTCACGTGAATTAGTTCTAGGTAGGAGCAAGCTAGTCGGCCAGATCATAAAATGCCTTCCCCGCTGGCGAATGATGGTGTCACTTGCCCCATAACCAGCTCTTACAGGTTTTCTCTGCCCACCCCTAGTGGCCAAAGGAGGTCTCAGAATTGGGGGAAAGACCAGCATGCGGCACGGAGACTCTGAGAAGACCGAGGGGGAAGAGAGAAGATGGAGCTCCGGGAGTTACAATGTAGGGGCTGTTGCCAGCTTCCTCTCCACCGTCATAACCTTCCCCATCTACAAGACTATCTTCCGCCAGCAGATCCACGCCTTCTCCATCCAGGAGGCCATACAGCAGTTGCGCCGCGAGGGCCTCCACCGCTTCTACCGGGGCCTTTTCCCACCACTCTTGTCCAAGACGCTCCAGGGAACCCTCTTGTTTGGCACCCATGACAGCTTCCTCCGTCTCCTCACCAGGAACCCTTCCGAGCCTTGCACGCTGGGGGAGCGGTGGGCAGCGGGGTTCCTGTCTGGCTCGGTGGAGGCCTTAGTCCTGAACCCCTTTGAGCGGGTCCAGAACGTCCTCCAGGACGGCCGGAAAGATGCCAGGTTCCCAAACATCCGCAGCATCCTGCAGGAATTCAACTCGTACGGTCCGAAGGAAAGGCTGGTCGTGGGCTACTACCGTGGCCTCAGCCCTGTGCTGCTGCGGAACAGCCTGGGCAGCGCGCTCTACTTCTCCTTTAAGGATCCCCTCCGGGACAGCCTGGCTGCCAGGGGCTTGCCTAGCTGCCTGGCCACCCTGGTGTCCGGCAGTGTTAACGGGACGGTGACTTGCCTGCTGTTGTACCCGCTGAGCGTCCTCGTGGCCAACATACAGTCGCAGGTTGGGGGGAGGGATCTTCTCAGCCTGCGGGAGTCTGCGTGGTCCGTCTGGGAGTCGCACGGGAGGAAGCTGACTCTTCTCTACCGGGGTGGCTCCCTCCTGGTCCTCCGGTCCTGTCTGACATGGGGTCTCACCACCGCCATCCATGACTTCCTGAGAGAGAACGCAGCGCACAGGTCTCAGGTGGCGTAAGGGGAGAGGCCAGAGAGCCACTGGCCCTGGCACGTCTAGCCCCATGTCTTAGGGCCATGAGGACTTGGCGTGGGGGGGAGGCTCTGAAGCTCAGTCAATAAAACTTTAGCACACAAGCTAAACCTCCAGCCTCCAGGTCAAAGGTTGTTTCCTCAGGCCATACTTTCAAAACCAAGGGGCAACTTTGGTTGTCATTTCCCTCCCCCGCCCCATCAGAACATTGCTTGGCTGGTTTTTAAACCTGGACTTTTCTGTGGCCAAATGGAGAGAGCCCAACCTCGCCTGCTGTAGGCTGATCTGACCGCATGGTTATGGGGCGAGGGTGCTCTAAGCGGCTCAGCACAGGAAGGGGAGTCAGGGAGCAGGATTCTGTTCCTAGCTATGCTACTGTGGCCTCGTAATGACATTTACTATCATCTGAAGAAGTGGGCTGTGCCCACGAAAGCTCATGATCCCATCTGCATGTTTTGTTCATCTTTAAAGTGCTACCAGACTAATTGGTTTTTAAATGTATCCTGAACAAACTAACTCAGCTACCCCCTGAAGCATCCACTATCGTGTGCCTCCTCTTTAAAAATGGAGATAGTCTTATTTCCCTGTTCAAAGTGCTTTAAGAGCACGGGTGGAAAGTGTTACAGAACGGCCGTGCGTTCACCATCGCTGAAACAGGCACTGTCCTTCTAAGATTTCCACTACTGTACGTTTGTCTCCTTAAGCACCCAGCTGCGCTAAGCCCTAGAAGCTGTTTTATTGTGGATTTGCACTGGTGCCTCTGGTTAGCTCAAATGCTGAGGCTCTGGGGAAGCGGGGCAGGTGGGCTGAGGTGGAGAACTAGGCCATGCAGATTAAGTATTCATAAAAGGAAGAAGCTCACAGAGCTACTTGAAGGAGGCTGACTTCTACTGGGGGCAAAGCAGAGATTCGGGATTCACAGGCTAATCTTTCTGGAAGTGGTAGACTCCTGACTGAATTCCTGGCTCCACTGTAGTCAATGGGAATTTGAGGGCCAGGATTTCAGGCCAAGTATGTTTTCATTCTCAGCTCAGGTAGTTACAGAGACAGCTGGGGGGAAGGTTATGGTCACAGCCGCGTTCTGCAAGCTTTCATGATCCTTCCAGAGTTCATGGCTGGGCTTGGCCAATAATCTGCCTCTAACTGCCCGGGTGTGCCCATGATGCTGCTAGATCTGTCTCAGTCTTTGGCAGTACTGACGCGACGGCATTGATGACTCCCTTGCTACAGTAGGCGTGGGGGCCCTGCAGCAGTTCCCCCTCTTCTCTGAGAGTTTCCAGGCAGAGGCCACTGAATGTGCTAGCTTCCATCCTGACCTCGCTCCTGTTCAACTTGTGGGCATGTTGGCTGGGAGATGGCGTGAGGCCGTGCCTTGCTGTGGCACTAGAATGTGGATCTGCCCAAGAGAGCACGAGGGCAGAGTATGCACTGAAGAGGTGAGAACTGATGCAGGAGAATTCCTTGAGGCCGGAGCTGTAATGCAAAGTCAAATGAATTATTTTGTTAGCTGGATTCAACCCAAGACCCTTTAGGCCAGATTCAGCTCAGATGCAAGCAGCTGCAACTCCACTGAAGTCAGGGGCAAATGTATGTAAGGGGCCTAGCTCCAGAAAGCAGGGTGACCCAAGTCCTCAAAAGTACTTAAGTGCTAGTGAGTTAGGCACCTATGTCCATGAGAATCTGCGCCAGCGACTCAGTTGTCAGATACTTTTACTGAGCTATTGCATCAACAACAGGATGGGTGAGACACGATTCAGTGTTTGACTCAGCCTGTGAACTCTGTCTCTGCCTGTCTGATTTCCTGTTAGGTTCCTGAGTAGCCACAAGACGACACTGTACCTTGTGCTTTGTGGGTTTAGAGGATGTTTCACTCTTCACCTGAAATGACATAACACTGCATCTGTATTAGTGCACTTGGTTCTTTTAAGTAAGACTCCTAACAAAATTCTTGAACTCTCCTTCCTGGAGCATTGTGGGTTAGCGGTTCCATTACAAGTGACTGAGTAAATTGAAGACACAGAGGCTAGGTCTACACTATGGAGTTTTTGTGCAAAAACTCACTGTGTCCACACCTCAAGCGCGTTTTTGCGCAAGTAAAACGACAGAACAGAGGGGTTTTTCCAGCGTAGGTATTCCTCTTTCTATGAGGAATAACTCCTTTTTGTGCAAGAGCTCTTGTGCAAAAAGGCATGTGTGGACGGGAAAGAGGGTTTTTTTGCGCAAAAAGAGGCAATTGAAAAAAGTACAGGTGTCCTGGTGGCGATTCTGTAAATAGCAATCAGTGTTTCATTTTGAGAGAGCGTCCTTGCAGTCTGGATGCTCTCTTGTGCAAAAGCGCATCACATTTTTGATGCGCTTTTGCAGTGTGGACGTGCTCTTGTGCAAGAAGTTTTTGCGGAAGATCTCTTCCATAAAAAGCTTCTTGTGTAGGAAGCCTGCAGTGTAGACATAGAAGCCTGCAGTGTAGACATAGAGACATATTCCTACTTTGAAGTAGGAATAAGAGATCCTCCGGAATAGGGCTTTATTCCGGAGGATCGGGCCAGTCTAGACGCTTTTTTCCGGCTTTTCCCCAAGCCGGAAAAAAGCGGCGGACATCTTTATTTAAATCCCGCGGGGGATATTTAAATCGCCCGCGGATTTCCCTATTCCGAAGTTTAAAATTAGCATGCCCCTTTCGAAAAAGGGGCCAGTGTAGACGTAGCCAGAGAGAAGAATAGAGTTGTGACTTGTCTCCAGATAAGGGCTAGTACACCCGCCCAGCCCCCAGTGGGGGATTGCTGACTTACAGCTGTGGTTGCTTCTTGTTTGGGATTAAAAGCTTTTTAACCTAATGAACTGGTGTGTTTAGTCCTCCAGCCAATGCTTAGTGGGCGGGGTGTGACTCCTGTGCTGTATTTATGGGGCTTACTTGGCATAATCATGTTGGGGAGATTCTAAACATTCATTGCAAAAATAAAGTAAGTTACTCGTCCTCCTGACTACAGCGAACCTTCCGACTGTGAGCTGAGTGTACGTGGGGGCAGGTTAATTGCATGAGTCTATAGACAGCCTAAAACCAAGCCTCAGGGGGAGGATGTATTGACCCTCTCATCCTTACTGGGAAGTCAGCTCCTAACCCAATGCCATGCCAGTATCAATGGTAACTGTTCCATTGTAGGTTGTTTAGGGGCTAGCATGGGTAGAAGGGGTGGGAGCAGCTTGTGGGACATATAGGAAGTGGCCACTACTGCAAGGAAGGAAATACAGCAGGCAGAAAAGGCAACTGACAGACAGAAGGGGGAAAGAGAAACAAAGGGCAGAAGTAATGGTGACCTCCAAGGGCACAGATGCTCTAAGTGATCCTGAATGTAGCAAGGAACTGGATGAATAGTACTGGACAATTTAATGTCTACAAGACAAGCCCTCCCCTCCTCTTGATCTCTATGCAAATCTCCCACTGACAGCAGAGGACTCCCCCCCGCCCCTTGCCCTGCAGATTAAGGACAATATGCTGTCCCGAATTTATACCCTGGACCCATTTAAATGTGAATCAGTAGGTGGAGCTCTCCTCCGGGTGAATCTGACAACCTGTCTTGTATCTATACAGGTCCCCGAAGGCTCCTTCTTATATAGCCCATGTGCTCAGGACTCCTTTTCACAGAATTTTGCTATACTATCCACCTGGAAATCCTGCACCCCTTGGTCTCTTCAGTTTAAATCAGAGAGGTGCATTCAGCCCTCTCTGTTCACCTGCTCTTTCAGAAGGAGCTTTTCTTTTTAGGACCAAATCATCCCCAGAAAAGCAGTGGCAGTAACACACTCCTGTAAAACCAAAGCTATCCACAAGCTGGCAGGTTGGCGAAGCATCTGCCACAACCCCCAGTACTCCCACTGCTGCACAAATCTGGTACTAATTTTGGACGCTGCGGTTTCTTTCCCAACCCCTCCTTTTAAATCGGGACCGTGCCAAAAAGATCACCATCGAAACAGCAAATTCTCCGAGATGCATGGGATGCTGGTGTCGTTCCTTGCCGGCTTCTCTGCTCTGCCATTTCTTTGTGATAACAGGATCAAATGTTGGGAGGGATTTCTGATTGGTTTGGTGTCAGGGATGTGCTTCCACAACAAGGTGTACTGGCCTTTCAGACTAAAGAGCACAGCTATGCAATCAGAAGAAGAAAACTGACATTTGTGAAAGGCCTTCCTTCCCTAAGGATATCAGCGTACTTAACAAACTATGCATGTGGCTCTACTTAAATGCAGCCTCTTCTGCCTGGAACACGGCAGTCGGCATACTATATATGGCACAACAGCTATATATGGGAGGTGGGAAATTTTGGTGCAGGGCAGCCCAGCTCTTTAGTACCAATCCACAGCAGATTGTCCCTCTGTTCTTAACATCTCATCCTAAAGATCTCCATTCAGTAAACAACAGAGAATGTCATTTACCTTGGGAGGATGAAGGGCTGGGTCTAGCACATAAGGACTTGGCTAGTCTGATTTTTCCAGTGATATCATGCAACCACAGCCCCTGGCGATTTCGGCAAGCGGACTGGGTGTCCAGTACAACTGCGCATTGGACCGTCGATGGATTGTCTGCCATTGTTAACTACCACGTAAAGGGGCTTTAGCTCAGTGTGACAATAGGTTTTGTGTGTCGAGAAGCCTTGAGGAGTCCCCACAAAATACCTTCTCGGTTATTCAGACCTTTTCCCAGTGTTCAGAAAAGTGTATGTAAGTGACTTGGCTGACATCCCAGGTCCCCTCTCCCATTCAGGAGTCTAAATTCCAACTGGTGTTCTACAGCAGTGTTTCTCAACCAGTGGTACAAGTACCCTTAGGGGTAGTCGAGAGAAGTCTGGGGGGTACGTCAGCACAACTGACATTTGGAGACAACTGAATTTTTGTGTTAAGTTTTACATCACTTTATTATTTTTGTACTTTTTACACCCAAAAATTTCATTGCCCGCCCGGCTATGATTAAGTTGTTTAAACAAACGTGTTACGATGGTAGAAAAAAAATGTATGTGTCTGAAAACTGTAGGTACTGGGGTTACTTATAATTTTTTTAAAGGGGTACTTTATAAAAAGAAAGTTGAGAAACTCTGTTGTACACCTATGAGCTTAGCTGCGCAGCCTGAGGTGTCAATGCACTTGGAATTTACAGCAGGCAGGCGTGGGCTCCCCAGTACTATCCACATACAAAAGGAAGGACAATCGTTACAGTTCATGGATTGAAGGCTGAGAGCGGAGGAATGTTGGAGTCTATAAAGGGGAATTCTGAGGAGAGATCTGTGCATGGTCTATATACAAACACCTTCTCTGTCACTATACACCATACAAGTGAATTATTCACAGTCAGAAGGCAGGGGGACTAGGAGTCAAAGCCTGAAGCTTAGGAGGGAAATGGTTAGGCGTGTCTATAAGAATAACAAGACTGAGGGACAGACAACCACAGAAGAGGTGACTGATACCCACTCCCGAGTTAGCTTATAGGCACCTCAGAAC